CAACCCCCTCCCTTCCCCACCCACCCAACGCACACTGACAACCCCCCCAAAAAAACCCCCAACAACAACAACAACAAAACCCCAAAAAACCCCACCAACATTAACCGCTAAACAAAACAAAAACTACAGGTATTTTTAAAAACCCAACCCCTCCCCCATCCAGTTAAAAAAAGCAACAACAACAAAAAGTGACGTTTTAGTGCTGTAAAGGCCCTTTAAGTTTTTATCTCAGACTTTTGACCAGGTTGTGCATTGATTCAGATGAAGAAAAAAATTAGGAAAAAGAGGGGGGATCTGGTGAGGGCCTTTATCATCAGTGGCGCGGAGATATTTGTAGCTTAAAAAAGAAAACAAAGACAAAGAAAACTACAATTTTAAAAGAACAATACATACGCACTTTATGCTGAATTCTCGCACCCGATCAGGCGCTACCGCGTTCGCACCCCTTCCCCTCTATCCAAGTTGACAAACGGCCATTATATACAACCCCCCCCCCCCCACTCCCCAACATACTGGGAGTCGACAACCCCACCCCTCGCCAAGAATCCGCCTAAAATGCTGTTTTAAAAAATCTTACCGATTGCATTCAGAAACGCACGTGCACGTAAAACAAACCATGCTGTACTAAACAACAACAACAATAATAAATAAAGTAATACATGGGAAAAAGGGGTCGTGGTGTCAGTGTCGTGAGGGGGGAGAGACGGGTTGTTGTTTTCTTTCTGACGTTTTTTCTGCAACCTCTGGATTCTATTTTTTAAAAATCGCGTTATTAGGTGGTTTACTCAGTTATATTAATGACAGTTATGAATTCATTCAATGTAATGAAAGCGCCTGCTGTTTATTTCGTTTGATCATTTGTCCTCTGAAGTGGTTAATCATTTTGTAGTTTCGAGTTTGCGAAAGTTCAAAGCGGTTTAACTGTTAAAAACAACAACAACAACGCCTCTTTAAAAACTTTTCCTTCTGTGCGCTTTGTTTATTTTATACAATGCACACATTAAAATTGTTTTGCTTGACAGAATGAAATAAATAATCCCAAGAGTTGTTTCATTAAAATATACTCTTAATTGCGTCATGAGTATAACCCGGCGACCGGACTATTTTTTCTTGAACAAACTTCCCTTTCCGCGCTTCTCTATTCCAATCGTATCGATCAAACCGTTGATCATCAAAGGACCTGCGGCAGCCAGTTATGCGCTGCTGTTGCATCCGCAACTCAACCTAAGCTCGAGTCTTGGAGAGAGCTGTGCGAGCCCCCTCCTCAGAAATTTTATTACTATCCCATCATGCCTCACTCGGGATCATGTGAATTACGATTCCGGGGGCTCACCTAATATTTTACAGCAGATCATCCAATCGTTGCAGGAGATTTGTACCACGTGACAGATTTTCCCTCGAAATAATTTATTCCCGGTAGCGTTTTGCGACGTTCGTGAGGGTTCGGAGGCACCTCTGTCGAGGCACAAACTTACATCAACAGCCGCCATGTTTGTTGGTTGTGAAGAAATGAATTTGCTGAAATTTTATGTTTTATTTCACTTCTAAAACGACTATTTGATTCGGGATATCGGTAAGGTTGTACCTCTAAGGTTCGTTTTTGGTTTCAGAGGTTCATATGGTGACTTCATGCCTGATTTGAAGGAGGAATTTTGTTAAACAAAAATCCTCTCTGCCGCGGTGCTTTGTGGCAGCGGCTGGCGATTGGATCGCTAGGTCGACGTGAAGTCGGCGATGTCCGTCATCATGGTGCAAAAGTGAAATCGTGCAAAGACACCGATCCGGACGCGTGGACGAAAGTTGAAATTTTCTGTGACATTGTTTTTCCTCACGTGTTTTACAAGTGTTCTCCTCAACGATGCATGGGATGAAAATAGTCCTGCAATTCCTGAAATTAGTAAAATCTTAGTGCTGAGTTGATTGTAAACATGGCCGACCATCAACTCGGGCCTCCGGCCAACAAGAAACCAAGAATCGGATCGCCATCGTTGAACACTCCAAGCGATAATAATGGTAAGTGCAGGATTGCTCTACAGTTGAGTTTGTTTTTATGTTAAATGATTTTTGTACTTTCTCTTGACGGCTTTGTGCTCCTTGAAATCAAAATCTACGTTCTTTTTTTTTATTAAAAAACTTGTCTAGATTCTAGACCCAGGGTTTTGTCTAGGCTGATTGTTGAGGCCCCATGCCCCATGTTTCTTGAAATCTTTTTTTCCCTGGAAAGAATAAATTGCATTGGCTTAGGTGATTGCTTTTCCAAGTAATATTGGGAGAATATGAACTAAACCTAGACAGATTTCTTTGTGCAAGTTTAGCAATGTCAGGGGTCAGTTCTAATTCAAGCTTATCTTTATACTTTGTAATATTAGAATTAGACAGTTCAGACTCTGACTACTGACTTAATTGTATCTCATTCCCATCATCATCTTTGTACCAATAAATTGACTTTAGATCTTGATCTAGGATCTAGATCTAGATCTATAGATCTACCACAGGGAATAGACTTGTTCTGATTGGGTTTTTTTTCTATTACTTGCCTAATTTTTTCATACTGTTGTCATCTTCTAAAAAATAGTCAAAGCATCTTCACCCAGGTAGGCTATGTGCCAAGAACGCAGTGGTTTTTATTGAATTTAGATTTATAATATAGACTATAGATCTAGATTTAGATTCTAGAAATCTAGATCTAGGCTAAGATTCTAGATTTTAGATTCTGATTCTGATTTGTAAAAATAAAATGGGCATCACAGGTTTTGATTTAATCAGCAGTGGCAGAACCTGAGTTGAGATTTAGAAAATGTGAACAATTGGATCTTTCCTATTTGTTTGTTGTACTCTCTCATTAAATTCCATTTATATATCTAGATTCTAGATCTAAATCTAGATTTCTAGATCCAGATCTAGATCTAGATCTTGATTCTAGGTGCAGTTTTAATAAAGAGCCTAGAATCTAGTCTGAAAAGTGAAGCAGTTATAATGCCCATTTCGCGCATAGTGTAGTAAAGCCCTTTTCTTCTTTGTTACAAGTCTTTCAAGGTAGTTTTATTGTGGTTTTAAAATGTTCGTCTACAGTAATTAATAGCCTAGCTGTGGCAGTAGCGTTTAAAATGAATTTCAGTGCTGTTCGACTGTAGAGTGAGATCATGTTTTCGATTTGGGCCTAGATCTAGATGTAGATCTAGATTTAGATCTCTATCTGTTCTGTTGAGCTAGTTTATAGGGAATATTATGTTGTGTGGGTTTCTGTATGAAAACTGAATTTAGATTGGGTCTAGATCTAGAGATAGATCTATATCTAGACTATAATACAATAAAATTGGACAATTGTACACCCAAGATGATGTGCTTATTTTTGTTGGTTTGACACTTCATGTCACTCTGACTCTATGATTGTTTTTTGGTGTTTTTTTTCGTCCTTTACCTTTATTTTACAATTGATGGCATGTGCAGCAGTGAACCTTTCGCGACATATTTAAGTTGTTAGATTCCATCTTTAAAATTGTAATGTGGAAGCAGTGTGGTGTTTTCTTCAACAAAAAAAGAAATGCTTACTGGAGTAACGGCCAACATTCTCAGAAAGCTTTCACTTTCGCATAAATACCTTCTGGGCCGGATTTAACTTTGGTGGACCAACCATGTTTACATGTAACAATGTGCACTGATGACAACAGTAGGGGGTTTCAACCCCCTCCCCCCCCCCCTGGCAACAATAAAAAAAATCAACAACATATAAATGCAAAACAATAAGTATGAGGCAAAACAATAATAGATCTAAATGAGAACCAAGTTTTAGTGTGATTTTCCGATATCCAGATGCTTTTAACTTGTCAGAATTTTGTCTGATTTCAGGCGTTTTACTTTAATCAGTCTTAAAACAAGAGGTATTTGATGATATGGCATGTTAATTTTTAGTCCCTGTACATGCGCATTTCCATGGGGTCTGAAAAGTTCAGGGAGTTCAGTTCGTGCTGAAATTAGGAATGGAATGGCTTTCCATTTTCTTCTAGTTTTTCTGAATTTTGCTTAATTTGTTTTTGAGGGGAATTTGCATCATGCAGGGTTTTTTTTAAATTATGTAAAAAATTGCCAGTGTTGATTTATGGTGTTTCTCATCTTTCAGTGAGGAAATTACCAAGGATAGGATTCCCGTGGTGCTGTATGATTAGCATATTTTTTATTCAGTATTGGTTTTTTTTGTTTTTTAAATTTTTATAACTTACAAGTTTTTAAGACTAGATCTAGAACCGAAAGGTTGTACTGGAGTGAGGGCACATGCCTTTTCTGTCACATTGAATGGAATCTGGAAGCCCTTTGTCTGTCCTTTCCCAACAGTGACATGGACATCTTTCGTATGTGAATACTATTTCTTGAGTCTGATCCCATAGATAAATTTTTTACTAAAGTTGCATTTCTTTGCTCTTGAAAAAGTGTTGCATAGTCTTCCTTTGTAGTCTTTCAGTCTTTTTCATTTGTTTGCATGCTTTCTTTTCTATTCTTTCACAGAGTTCAACTTTGGAAACCTCAATTTTGACGGGATTGTGAATGAATTACCAGATGATTTGGATGGGCTGCAGGGCACTTCCGGTGATGGCCAGACACCTCAGGGCAGTCAGGACACGAGCATGGGGGGCTCGTTGTCCCAGTTGCTGTCGAGGTCAACCCCAAATTCACAGACTTCTCTGCCGTTACCAGTCAATAGTGCTGGTGGTATCCAGACAAGTAGAAGCCCTGGCATGGGTGCAATGATGAATATGGGAATGGGCAAGAACCCAATGTCGAACAACCTGGCAGCAACACTGGCGAACAAAGCAGCCACATCCTCACATATGAACATGAACGATGCGCTTGTCAGTAGCGCCTCATTCACCATATCAGGAACTAATGCTGGTCCAATGGGTGGAGTTACTAACACCATGGGGATGAATCCCACTATGGGTAATCCGCAAATGATTGGGAGTGTGGGAAGTCTGAATATGAATCAGCAGATGCCAAATCAAATGATGAATGGTCCTACCAGTTTCCCTGGTAACATGGGTCAAATGAGAGCCATGCAGGGGAACAATGTGAATCCTTCCACATCCATGCAAGTGCCACAGACTGGTATGATGCAAAGTCCTGGGATGCCTCAGATGCAAGGTCATCAAGGAATGCCTGGACACCCAAATATGAACATGCCACAGAACCCACCTCAAAATATTCGGGTAAGTGCCGTGTAATAATTAAAACAGTTTTTGAAAAAGTGATCTATAATGTTTTGGTTACAGTAAATGCTTTTTTCCACATTTTATACCAGTAAACCATTAATTCTTACCCCCCTTCGCAGTGTGTGGCATGCCACTTGCAAAATAAATAGTATAATTTTGCGATATACAGCATCTCTTTATTGTTGTACAGGAACGTTGGTAGCCATAGCATGAGTTAGACATCAGATTTGAAAACGACTGCTGCAAATATACAAAGAGACTAGAACTGCTTATTTCTCTGGAATTTTAGGTTTATGGTAACCTAGTTAAAGTTAAATGTTGTGGGTTTATGACTGATGACAGTCTAGCTTTCGTCTTGGGTTTTCAAAACAGCCCTGTCCAGTGTTGAAAAAAACTTGACATTACAAAAAGGATAAACATGGTGGGTTGGGATGTCCATACTGAAGAGGTGGGTTTATTCTTTCTCTAGTTTGTCAAAAAATTAAATCCTCTGTATTTGAAAATGGTTATTTTTCCATTCTTCACCCCCTGCTAAATGAACACAGCCTGGACAACCCACTGGAAGTGGTACTTCCGGTCCACGTCAAGCAGCTGGAGAGCCAGATAAAAGCAAACTCATCCAGCAGCAGTTGGTCCTGCTTCTGCATGCTCACAAGTGTCAGAGGAGAGAGCAGAACAACATTGAGCAAGAGTGCAAGCTGCCATACTGTCGGACCATGAAAAATGTTCTGAACCACATGACGACCTGCAACAAGGGAAAGTCTTGTGAAGGTGAGTGTCTTGGTTTTTTATTGTTGTGTCTTAAACCATTTTCCCAAATTGTGGCACTAACCTTGTTGTTGTCCTAAAAGTAAAAACCGTACATAATAACCATGGCTCTCCATGGTGTAAATCTTGTCTTCACAGCGTTTTGTTGTACTCACATTTTTTTGCGCTGTTTTTATCACATTTATCCACAGTGAAGAAGAAAACATGACTTAAATCAGAATATTATGCACATTTTGATGTCGTTTGATTGCCATGGGTAAGGACAATGGTGAAAGACTGAAGAGCTAATGAGCAAGCCGAGACACAAAATTTCATATTGACACTACAAAACTGATTTCAATCTTTGTCTGAGCTTCTTGAAAAAGAGTTAGGTTGGAGTACAAGTGTATTGGGCATTCATTTTTTTAAAATGTACATTTTGCACGGAAGAAATTGGAATCAGAGAGAAGACGCAAAGATTGGGTCTCTTAAGAGTTGATGGACAAAATACAAAAGAGGAAAATGAAGGCAAAGCTAAACATATGCAAAACTCAACAAGCTTAAAGAACTGCACAAGAAGAGTACACATACACAGACTCACGAAGAAGTGAAACAAGAGCTTATTTAAAAAGCAGGCAAGTGCAAGTCCATAAAAGAAATGGTGGAAGCGGGATAAACGAGCAGCAGCCTCAGGTAATTTAGAATATGCTTTAAAAAAATGAGAAGTGCAACAAACTGGAATTGCCTGTAAAAGACAAGCAGGGGAAAAGAAGCAAAGCTATAAAAATGGGAGGAAAACTTCCTGTAATTTCTTAAAAGAACCAGCCCCCAAATCACCAACCAGATGTACCGCGAGCTGAGAGAAACTTGAAAGTAAGTTGTGATCCTTTAACAGATAAAGAAATCATGAATGCTATCAGAAAGTAAGAGTGGAAAGGCAGCAGGCTCATACTACACACGGCCCAAGGCACTTAACTCTTTCCGGATCTATCGCTGATATATCAACGGGAGTCCACACCCCTTGCGGACGTATCGCCAATATATCAGCTATGATAGGGGGCCTCAGTTTTGTTTCGTTTTAACCTGATCCATTATTTATAAGTCGTTTATATTGTTATTGAAAACTTGGAAAGGGTTTAGGAAACAAAAACATCTAGTTTCACTTTGTCAGAGTGTCCGTCTGGAGAAAAACAAATGAATTGGTTCTTGCGGTCTTGCATCAACAAAACGATGTGACCGGACTCAGTATAGATATCATAACTCAAACAAAAATTAGAATATTGCATTCAAGGAAAAAGCTGCACATTCAGAAATTTTTGGAGTTTGCTCTTGGCCTGTATATGATAAGATAGCTATACTGATTCGCTTTCACGTGACCCCAACGTGATAAGGCGCTTGGCGGGTAACACACACACATACACACCCGCTGCAACTAAAATTCCACCGCTGGTGCGATGTGGGTGAAGCGGCAAAGCCAACGATAGACCCCTCAAGGGAAGAGGAAAGATTTGAAGGGAGAAATCCACTTTCGAGCAAGATGTGGAATCAGATCTCCGACAGATGGGTTACAGCTGGCTTGAGGAAGGGGAGGACATACATGGAGAGCCTTTCTTTGTGGTTCATACCCATTACCAGCTGGAAAAAGGCTGAGAGAGGCAGAGAGTTCTGTCAGCATTTCAGAATTTGAAGTTACTTTGTTTACAATTGTGTCAAATTTGAGAATTGGGCTCTAACCTTTGATAACACCGCTCTGGTGCTGCATGATTACTATCTTGCATGTGGCTGGAGGACATCATTGTAGATCCTACTTAAATTGTCCCATTATTGTTTCTGTCTGTCCATCTTACTTTTTCCTAGCACTAAATGATCATTATTATGTCAATGTGCTTCTCTTTGTTCAAACAGCCACTCCCCATTTCTTCCCTGTCATTTTTTTTTTACATTTTAAGACACTGAGATACTGTGTAAGACTACTACTTTCTTCGACCATGGTTGGCCATCTTAAACGGTTTCGACTGTATTGATTTTAAACTGGAAACTGTCTCTTCCTACTTCTCTTGCAATAGGGCTAATGGCATCCTGGGGGGGGGGGGGGGGGGGGGGGGGGGGGTGTAATTGGTAGTTGTGGGAATAAAAATACAAGATAATGTGGATAAAATTGGGATTTCCCTGAGCTATGTTTTCACAGTGAGAAGAAAAGATATTGGGAAGGGTCTTTATTGGGCTGTGTACTTTTTGTATTTGAAATGGCATGTTGGTAAGCCATGTGTTGGATGTAGTTGGGAAGTATCTGGATTTGGTTCTTAAATGTTTCATAAATTACTGCCAGGCAGAGGTAACTGCATTGTACAGAGCATAGTAATAGATGCTGGAGGGATAATATGATAAAGTACCAAAAAATTCTATTGCTTTTGCATCTGTTACTAAAAGGCTCTGTTGTGAGCTATGTTCAATTTTTCCAGGTTGTTTTGAAGGTAAAATTTTCGTTTTTCAGTTGCCCATTGTGCTTCATCTCGTCAAATAATCACTCACTGGAAAAACTGCCTACGTCAAGATTGCCCTGTTTGTTTTGCTCTGAAGATTGCAGACAAACGAAATACCCAAGGTATGCTTTTTGTATATCTCTGGGGCCAAGGTTTCTGAGATCAAAAAAAGCCATAACTCTGCACTTGGACTGATCTGTACCCAAAAACATTCATATTGACGCTTTGTTCCGAGTTATAAAATATTCACTGGCAGTCATACCAGTCATATTCTTCATTCTCTGAAAATCTGGGTGACCCATTGATTCAGGTTTTTAAAAAATGGCATGCGTTATCTAGGGTCCGTGAGTTTTAAAGCCTTTTCACTGTGATATAAGAAACACACGGTGAACCCCTAGACAGATGTTCCCATGAGAGGTGCATATATTCCGGATAAATCAGAAATCTAGATTTTGTACATTTGTGAATATTGTAACCACTTTCGCAATTCTAGATTCAAGATGCAATTAAAAATATGATCTGAACTTTTGTGTTCCAGTGCACATATTTTCATACGGAACAGTGAACCAGTTTTGTTCCAAGTTGCGTCTTTCATCATTTAAAGAAAAATTTTCAGAAATGCACACTTGGTGACGATAAAGTGCTTCTGCAGGCCTAGTTATAAAAAGGATGCTTCGAGGCGGACATGGTTTTTTAATGTTATTTAAAATTACCGTTTAAATTTCTGTCGTATTGTTATGACTAAAGCACTTTCGTACATGGCTGAGGATTACGTTGTTGTAAAAGTAATGAAAAAGTTGTTGGGAAAAAAAGACATTTTAAAGAAAAGCATCATGAGGAGCAGCCCTTTGAAATGACTGGCGCTTATTTCAATCTCCACAATCTTTTCATGACTATATGTCCCTACTAATTTAATCAGTGCCCAGACATCTTTGTCATTTGTTGAAGTGTTGAGGACATAAGGCTTCTTTTGTGCTCAGGTGCCCTAGTTGCTCAGTTAAAATGCATTGCACCGGACTAAAGATCAAGAAACCCTTGCACTTCAGTTGTTGTTATAATTTTTTGGTGTCCATCTGCTTCTCTCAGTTCTACTGGAGACAGATTTCTGATGTGTTTTTGTTTGTGTTATTTATTATTTTTTTAAATTTGTTGTTTTCTATGTTCATCTGCTTCTCTCAGTTCTACTGGAGACAGATTTCTTATGTGTTTTTGTTGTTGATGTTTGTGTTATCTTTTTATTTGTTGTTGTCTATGTTCATCTGCTTCTCTCAGTTCTACTGGAGATCAGATTTCAGAATATTCTGTTTTGACACAGTTCAACCAGTTTCCATAGTTGTGTCTCTAATATGTCAAAATTATTAGAATAATTTTGTGTTGCCTAAAGAAAGATACCAAAAGTCGGATTTTGAGTTAAGGGTTGTACCTTATAGGAAATTCAATGCTGAACAGCAGTTTTTGAATTTTTGAGAAATCTCAAGTAGTTTTTGAGATATTGCACATTTTGTGAGTTAGGGTATAAAGATCTAATTTTGAGCAAATTAGCTTTTTAGTAGGACACAAACTTGAGAAAAATAATGATTCTATTGTTTCTAATGTGTTTATTCATGGAAAATTTATTTCCAATTTGGCATTCAGTTGACATCAATATTATGATTAGAATTCAGTGGTAAAACGTAGCGGGGGAAGAGAAAACATGCTTCAAGAATAGATTTTAACACCTTCTAAAAGCAGTTTGCATTATCTCTTTAAAAATACCCTAGTCTCAAAATTATTAAAAATAAAATATCTAGAAGTCAAATCAATGGAAACCCTTTTGAGACATTGTAAAAAAATGGTGGAACTATCATTTTCTAATGGAAACACTTTTTGGTCAAAAAGGTGATTTTTTGTCATTATCAGTCTTCTGAAGCTAAAAATGGTCTGTGGCGACTTTTGGTACCTTTCTTTGGGCACCAACATTTATATGGTATCCTGTTGATTCTGTATGGCAATTAACAATTTTGGAAAGAAACATTCATAATAAGAATATGTGTCTTTTTATTTCAAGAACGAGAGTTTCTGTAATTTTTCAGTTTCATAAATAAGGAAGTAAATGTTAAGATTTTCTTTGATTTCAGATTGTATGTCCTTCCTATTGTATAAAAGAATTAATGAATAGACAATCATTTATAGGAGAGGAGGACCTCAATAAAAATGAAAAGGAGCAAAAAAGTTCTTTCCTTTTTAATCTAACTGAACTACAAATTGTATTTATGTCTTTGCACATAATGTATGTAAATTTCTGTACTGGTGATCATGAAAAAGGTACCTCTTTTTGTATGTGTAAAAAAATCTTGTCTTTTGAGTCTTGTACGTTTTTCCTTTCACGTGAATAATACAAAGTACTTTCAATCATGTTATTTAATGACTTGGCAACAAAAGGAATGCCCTGAGCATGCCAGTGGCTTGATTTCACAATCTTTCTTGGTTGACAATGACTAAGTCGTATTGCGGCCTTTGAGACCTAAACAAATTTTTTTTTTTTTAAAGAAAAGAAAAGAAAAAGTCTGCATGGGGGGGGGGGGGGGGGTGCATATTTTCTATTTTTGGACATGGGTGCTGTAAAAACTAAGCACCAAAATGTTGTTTTCATAACACTTCTACTTTTTAGAGTACTTTGTATTACTCAAGTAAAAGGGAAATCTCGGAAGACTGGATTTTTTTACACAATTAAAAAGTTGTCCCTTTTTATTGATGGCCTGTATGTAGTCATACAAAAATTTCCAAGGAAAGAGTCTTGCCTATTTGTAACATCCAACACATTATTGTGTTTTACCATAATTGGTAGCTTATTACTGGCTTCTTACAAGAGAAATACGTACCAATAAAAATTAACACTAGACTAATGCTTCCCGGTTATCGCATAGGATGCATTGGATATCAAAGCTGATTTATAATTTTCTTGGAGAAGTATTAACAGTAGTAAGTAGTAACATGATTAGTTTTAAAATATTGCTATTTAATAAGATTACCTATACAGGTCTACTTGGCATTTTACAAATTATATTGACAGTTTGGGGAAGAAAAACTAATGTTTACTTACCCGTTATACGTTTGTTTGAAAATGGACCATTTCTCCGCTTTTCTATTTTTCTTTATGTAGTAATTTTTATATTGTTATGATCACTCGTTATTGTTTTAAAAAATGTTCAAAGCAGTTCTTACAAGCTTCATTTCTGTATAATTGATCTGTACATAGTGATGTTTTTATTGCCAGTTTAAACCAAAGATGTTTTTAGAATTGTTTCGTTTATGTTCTGAGTGTGTCATGTCTGTCGTGTTTGATTTTGTAGGCCAGAGTGTCAATCAAACGTCTACTATGACTGCACCAAACGCTGCTGACCCTGCAACGATGAAGAGAGCATTTGAGTCTCTAGGTCTCCAGTACAACCAGAATACCCCAGCTCACAATGCTGCTCAGCATGGTCATCCCCAGATGAATGCTATGCAGAACGATGGTATGGAAATTAGTCAGTGTCTCAAGTCCTCAAAGATATGTTAAGGACAACCAAAGTACTTTGACTGAGTTTGATAAGACTTCTCTCTGAAAATATTTTGGACCCATCCTTCCCGCAAACCACTGTACATTCTGTTGAATAGATTTAATGACCCTTTCAACACTGCAAAGTGTTTTCAGGGGTGGACCCTCTGAATTGAACGTCCATATCAGACAGGACCAAGCCAGATAGGCGGAGAGTTTAAAAACAAAGTTCAAGAGTGCCTAGTTGGGGGTTTGAACCCCGCCCATCCACTTTGTAGTTCAGTATGATACTGAGTTAAAGAGTGCCCACTTTCTATTTAAAGTGAAATCTTGAGACACAACTGTCTCATTGAAAGCTTCTATACGCATTTTGTGCTACCAAAGTTAAATAAGCAGATTTGTGTGACCATGTCTGTTGAATAGTGATGGGCTTTTATTGTTGCTCTATTTCTTTTTAAAAAAAGATTCATTTATATCCTCTTTCTCTCAACAGCTGGTCAAATCAACAAAACGAACATGCCGAATCAGCAAGGTCCAAAGGTTGTCCCAGATCAATCAAGTAGTCCAATGAGCATGTTGCCTGTGCCACCCACGGGACAACTGCCTCAGACGATTCAACCACAGAGTGGCACCCAGCTGGCATCTGCAACAGCTCAAGCAGCTGCCATGGGGAATGCCCCTGATATTGTCAAATCCATCCCCGTGTCCAGCAGAAAAGACTGGCATGCCCAAGTGACCCAGGATCTTCGCAATCACTTGGTTCACAAGCTGTGAGTTCCTTCAGTATTTCTTTTGCAATAACACGTTTTAGCTTTGTTAAGCTTTTGTTTCATTTTGTTGTTTGAGATGAAGATTGATGGATCTAGTTGGTTTTGTCTTTTTCTTGATGACCTCAGATTTGCATTTAAAAAACTCTATAAAAAAGCACTACACTGCCATAGTGATGTATTGCTAGTGGGTATGATTCTGTGTCAGCTTTCAAATTGTGAAGTAATACCCAAAAGATTTTTCCTTATCCATATTGGCGTTAACTCTTGTGCAGTCAGTCCTTTGGCAGTCTATTGAAATATTGAGTAGGTAGTTAGAGATGCTGTAGTGCAGTCTGCTACTGACACAATGTTATGCCTTGATTGTGATGTGAAATGTGACCATTGGCTTGCAGACTCTTCTTAAATTGTTCCTTTTACTGTGAAGTAAGAGAGATCTTAAGGCGGCTTCACTTTGGGGTTTTGTGTGTGTGAAAAGTGCTTCTTATTCTCATCTCAATCTTTATTATTCACAGGGTGCAAGCTATTTTCCCAACTCCTGATCAAGCTACCCTCCGTGACAGTAGGATGAAAAATTTGGTTGCATATGCTAGGAAAGTAGAAGGAGACATGTATGAATCTGCGAACAATAGGGTAAGTCATTTTTTTGTGTCTATACATTATGTTCTTAGGATTTTTTTCTTTTTTTGGGAATAAAATAATATAGGATTAATGTCCCTTGCAATATTGTAAGGTTATTAAAGGCGGAAAAGTTGGGAAAATAATTTTTAAAATTTATATCACTCCCTTGGTACGGGGTGGGGTGCCTATTGCGGATGGGGTCGGGACGGGATGGTCGCCCCACTCGCCGCCTGAAAAGTGAGGCAACGAGTCGGGCGCGACCGACTTGTGCCGCGATAACCGCTTTGTGCCCTTAATCTGGCTAGCAAACCGACCTGATCCCCCAATGGTACTGTTGGGACTGAATCATTTTCTTGCTAGATAAAGATCTAGATCTACAGTAAATCAATCTTAAACATGATCGTCTGATTACTTACCTCGCATTTGGTTCCGTAGCACCAGATGGAGAGATCTAGTATAAACAGGGCTTCCAGTCTTCAGCAATTTTGCGGATTTGCGCAAATTAGTAGATTTCCGCAAATGAAAAAATTTCAGTGAAAATTCGTGCCCAAAAAAAAATTATTTTCAAAAATGCGAAATAAAAATTTTCCCTTATTACCAATAGTCAACAATAGCCAACCCATACCGGAAGTGCTCTTTTATTTGAAAGTGTAGACAGTGTCTTTTACTTTCACTTTCTAAAGCACAAGAAGCACAGCACTAGCTCTGTAAACAAGAGGAAGAAATGACGATTGTGGTTCAATAGATCTTGGGCCTGCCAAGAAAAGAAAACTCTAAAGAGAGCTTGTTTTTTGTTTTTTTTACCAGACTTGTTTATTTGTAAGTATTGTTGTGGATTTAAGTTAAATATAAGCTGTCAAGTTATTTAGATCTAGAATCTAGAGATAAAGTCAAGCTGTTATATAAAAAGCTATGATTGTAAGAATTCTACACCTTATGCTGATTATGGTGCAAACCAACACAAGCAGAAAAGTTAAACATTAACTGTCAAGTTTTATAGATCTAAATTGTGGATGTACAGTATCTGTACAAGGGAGAATGCATGGTTTTGGATTTGGAAATATAAGGATTAACAAGCAGAAAATTATGTAGGCCTATACAAGGTATGTTTTTTTTCTCAATTATTTTCTAGTTAAATTTAGGCCTGAATAGCCAGAAATGGCTTACTTAAGATGCTCTGAAACCAAAAATTCTCAAACAGAAAGGGGACGCAGTCCCCCTTTAACCCCCTGCCCTGGACCCGAAAATCCTCGAAAAATGATATCAGCCGCTGGAAGCTCTGTATAAAAAAACTGTGAAAGACTTTAAATCTTAGATAAGTTAGTACAAGGATCCAGGCAGTGGCCATTGATCCTCGGGTGTGGCTACTGTATATAATCCCATACTTTATATCTTTATTCTAAGTTTGAGACAAATGTCATCATTATTTTCTTTTCAGGGTCAGTACTACCATTTGCTCGCTGAGAAGATCTACAAAATACAGAAAGAGCTGGAGGAGAAGAGAATTCAGAGGATGAAAGTGCAAAATGCTCCGAATGCACAGGTTCCTGGAATGCAAGGCCAGATTCATCCAAATGCTCAAAGTAAGAATCTCTTGTGAAGGCTTAATGCTTCAGAAAGATTGATGGTCTCATTTGCTGTAGTCATATGTGTCATGTTAGTTGATCTAGAAGAGAAAAGGCAGATCAATTGCCAACAAGTAATGTTAATCGTCATAACGGAATGTGCCCAAGCTGCTGTCAGCGGTTCCCTGGCACAGTGGTTCTGATTGCGAGCCACTGGGAGCGGCTTGCCTGAGATCGGAGAAAGAGTTTCTTTTTAAGCGATGATGAGGGAATCTGATTTGGTTTGCCAGAGATTTTTCAATGGGGTTTTTTTTTTTGGGGTATGTTTTGGAAAACTAATTGTTTTTGTCTGTAATCGACGAGATGTGAACAAGCTCTTTTTTTCTGTTACCTTTTTTTTTTTTTTTTTTTTTTTTTTTTTTTTTTTTTTTTTTTTTTGTTGTGTCAGCAGTGTTGTATGTGCTAATTGCATAGAATCAGGATTTTCATTTTTTGATAAAGCTAATGTGTTTTTAACCCTGCATCCTCTTTCAGATGGTCCAAACAATGTACAAGGTAATGCATTCTTCAATGAGATGAATAATCTTCCGATGCCCAATCAGCAGCAGATCCAGCCACCTCAAGGACAGCTCAAGATGAAGTGGTCAAACATGCGTGCGACACCGCCACCAGTACAGGTACACGTTGTGGATTTTTTTCTTTCTTTCTTTCTTTCCCTTTCTTTGTTTTTCTTTTCTTTCTTTTTTTTTTTTAATAACCTATTAGAATGTTTATGAAATGTCTTGTTTTCGGCATAATTTACTATTTAAAGTTCATCCCTTTTAAGAAATAGGATTAAGTGCGTTACAATTTTGTCTTTGGGCTCTTACCTTTGCTTCAAATTAGGGTATTCTTGGACTGAATCTGATAGTATGTAAAATGTTACGAGCTGTGTCTTTGCGGGTTTCTTTAGTGATACTGCTTAACCGTTTGAAAATAAAATGTTATCTGATCTTTTGAAACCTGGCCTCCCCAGGAAAAAGTAAAGGCGGATCATTGTACCATGTACTCTCATTGTTCACAGATGCCTGGCGTGGCCACTTCAAGCACTATGACTATGAATGCTGCCCTGGCAGACTCCCAACAGCAATTTGACGCCATCAAGCGTTCCATGCCCCAGCAGCCAGGCGGGATGAACCGCCTCATGATGCCCAGTGCTACAGCAACGTCCACCCACCAGTCCCCACAGCAGCCACTTTTGCACCAGCAACTCAACTCACAAGCACAAGTAGTTCAGTCTCAGGTAGTGGTCGTCATTTTTGGGGGGGGTTTTGTCTGTGCTTTCTCAATAGCTTTTGTTAGTGGGGGAGTAAGGTCTATAACTGTAAATTTTTTGGTTGGGTGTATAACAGTGGCATATTTTTCTATTCAACAATTCTAGGATTGTTAAGGTTTACAAAATAGTACGTCTTTATTGCAATAAGTAGTATGAGTAGAATTTCAATTTTGTTTTACGATTAGCTGTATACATAATATGTCAGTGTCACACTAACTTAATACTCACTCCCAGAGATTTGTTTATTACAGGCTTCCAACCAGTCTGCCATGTCCACACCCCAACAGTCCAACCTTCAGAATCACATGAACTCAACACTGCCCGATGTATTGGGTGGTGTCAACAATCAACGAATGACAGGAACGCCAACCGTCGGTGGCTCATTAGACAGTGTGGTGGCTACAAGTGGTGTCCATGTTGCGACCTCCCAACAGTCTCTCATTCAGTTGGCGGGCCCAGCTGCTGCTACTCCAGTTAGTCAACCTCATTTACCGATATCCAGAGCATCTCAACTGAATGGACAGACCCCAACCCAAGATCTTAGTGTGAGTATTTCACCATAATTTGTCCCCCCCCCCCGTCTTGCAGCTCATGCTCAATACCATGTCATTTTTAAAAAATCATCTTTGTTGGGGGGGGGGGGGTTAAATCGAAGAGTATCATAAAATGCTTCTCAGACGACAAACTTGCCGAGTGCCTTCGTAACGTGCATGTTGCTTTTGTGGAACGAAGGCATGCCTCTCCACTGTTACTTAGAGGTATCTTCTCAGCATTGTATTTCTTTACATCTCATTTTTATATTCTGTGACAAAATATATTGTGAATTATGTAAATAGGAGAGCACATTGTTGAATTGTGTTCGTTTTTTACTCCTGTATTTCAGAATGAACTATCTCAAGTGACTGATGACCTTATGAAATCAGAGTCAAATAACAAGGACACTGCATTATCAGAGAGCAGTCAGAATCTGTCTAGTCTGTTGTCTGCTGCTTCACCATCAACGTTATCACTCACGACTATGACACCATCAGTTGTCACATCATCTACCACCGTGTCTTCCATGCTCAACCTGCCACAAAAAGGTGATGTTAAGACCGAGTCGTCAACTGATGTGAAAGTCAAACAAGAAGTAGAAGTGAAGGAAGAGAAGATGGACACAGGTAAATCCGAGTCGGAAGTGAAACCTGAGCCTGACTCCATAAAAGCTGAGAATGAAACTTCTAGTCCGAAGTTGGATAACCTTGACGAGAGCTCTCAGGCGAGCATTGAGGAGAAACCAGCTTCTGTTGGAGATGCATCAAATAACTCTGCAGCTTCCACACCAAAACCAAGGTGCAAGAAAGGTCAGTATCTCTTTACAAGTAAGAGTTTTTGTACATAGATCGATAAGTTTTTGAGAATGTGACATGTCATTTTCCTTTTCATGTTTTTTTTAAAAAACTGTGGATTGCAAATTTTCTTAAAAGCATAACTTTGGTTTGAATATTTATACTATTGATTTCGCTGTGGTAGCCCTTTTTCTACTTGTATGACTTGCTTACACTTCATGATTTGTCTGGAAAGCATGGATCTCTTGAATGTTAACTTACTTTTATGTAAGAGAAGTAAGATTGACATTCATTAGTCTTTGGGTAGATTTAGGATTGGAGGGGCTGTTTTATGTGTTAAAAGGCATGGTAATCAGTATAAGTTGTTGGCTGTGAAGCACATACCCAGTACAAAAAATGTTAAATGGTTTGTTTAATAAGTACCTACTGTGATTGTTTTTCTCAGTTTTTGATAAAGATGAGCTTCGCCAAGCATTGATGCCTACCCTTGAGAAACTCTTCAAGCAAGACCCAGAATCTCTTCCTTTCAGACAACCAGTCGACCCTGTTGTCCTCCATATACCAGTAAGTTATCAATATATGTCCCAATTATTTCTTGGTCATTCATTTTTGGATGTTTTATATATTATTTTTTTTACTGAATGGCTGTGTGAGTTGTATTTGCACTCACGTTTTTTTAAATTGAAGGATGCATGTTTGTGTGCTGTTATGCTGTAAATCGTGTTCTTTTATTAGAGAAAGGAATTTCCCTTGCTCTCAGAGCTGTTATGGACTTGCCTAGCACATGGAATGGTGAGGTGCTGTGTTGGGAAACCAGTTTTGCTTTTCTATCAGATTTCCTTGCCAGGCAGTCCCAATTTTTCATTAGGGGGTATCCTATTTCTTTGACAGTTTATCAAGTTCTTTGAACAGTACAACAATTTGATACTTATTGTTCATGAGTTCAGTTATAGTTTTTTGTTTTTATGTTGTTGTTTGTTTGGTTTTTTTTTTATTGTTTCAAAGACTGGATATAAGAGGACTAAGGCACTAGAACCTGTATTGGTGTTTAAGTTGCAAAATATAAGATAACTAGATTTCTGTCCTTGATATTGCTTTTGTTAAGTTGTAAGTTTTACACAATACTCTGATCTTGTATGCCAGTGAGCTTTGTTGTGCAAATGGAACTACGGTGGCTAAGTTGTGTGAAATGATTTTGCTTTTTTTTTTTACTTTTCCAAATTTTTAATGGTCTTTGGCTCTGCTTTTTTCCCCTCTCAACAGGATTACTTTGATATTGTGAAAAAACCCATGGATCTCTCAACAATAAGACGGAAGTTGGATTCGGGACTGTACTCAGATCCATGGGAATATGTTGATGATGTGTGCTTGATGTTTGACAACGCTTGGCTTTACAACAGGAAGACATCAAGAGTGTACAAGTATGCCTCCAAGGTAAGAGGCTTTTGTTCATTTTTAAAAGTATTTTGGTTCATCAGTTTTTTCAGTCTCTTTAGCTCTTAAATGAAGTGAATGAACCCATAGTATGGCAGAATCATCCTGTGGACTTCAAAGAAGCTTTGAATGGCTTAAAGTTTATTTATATAGGCTTTTTTCTAACTTTGAGTCTTGTTTTTTTTTCATTTTTACATATATATTTTTCCTACGTGTAGTAGACTATTTTTAAAAAGTTTTTTGGGGGGTTTAATTTCTTCATTTTTTTTGTTTGTGTTTTGGGCAAGAGGGTTGTTATCATGTTTTAAATTTTTTAGGTGTGACGTTTTTGTCATAGTGACAAATTTCATTTCATATTTTCAGCTTTCTGAGGTGTTCGAGAGTGAGATTGACAGTGTCATGCAGTCATTGGGCTATTGCTGTGGGCACAAGTACGTCTTCTGCCCTCAAGTTCTCTGTTGTTACGGCAAACAGCTGTGTACAATCCCAAGAGATTCTATGTACTACAGCTACCAAAACAGGTAAGATTTTTAGATTTTAGTTAAGGAGGTTTTCTAGGGTGGAGATGAAAAGTTGTTTTTTTGGGGACTAGTGTGTTTTATGGATAGTTTTAAAAATTTATGCTGGAGATAATCTTATTCAGTTTTTACTTCCATTGTCACCTGTCTACTTTTTTTTAAAACCATGGTGGTTATCTTGGTAATTCATTGTACTTTGTTTGGAACATTGCCAAAATGTTAAGTTATTCTTTACATTTTAATGGTCAGTAATAATTTTCGTTTACCTGTTCCTACACTGAGGCTGGTACAGTTACTTCATATATTTTGTTTTGGTGAAGTTAGAAGCGTTCTAATGATTGTAATTCTGTGTCTGTACTGTTTACAGTTAGCCAGTTCCCTGTTGATATATTGGAAATAATGATGTGGGGAAATTTCAATTGTTACTTTTTTCTGCGTTTCTTCCGAATGTGAATAATTGTGATGTAAAACCATGCCATTTGTTTGTCTTCTTCAGATATGTTTATTGTGAAAAGTGCTTCAACGAAATCCAAACAGATGAAGTTGAGTTATCTGAGGATCCAACACAGCCAATGACGTAAGTGACAGTATTATTTTTGTGGAAGCTGTAAATAAAATTTCAAGAATTAATTTTTTGTTTTCAAGTAATACTTTCCATGTGAAGCATATTAAGTCATAAAGTATGCAATGTGCACTATTTAAAAAAAACTAATATAAATTAAATGTATTTTGGGGGTAAAAACTATTTGCCCCTAAAAATTGTGTAAATTCTGCAATATACTATGTGCATCAAGTAAATGGAATTTGAGCTGTTACTTCATTTTCCTTTGAGCAAAAACATTTAAAGAGCTCACATAAAAGGTCTCTGGCATTCTACATATTATGTAATTGTAGATAGCTTTCAAATACAATTTGAGTGCTTCAGATTTCTTGGTGAATGTTGTTCATTTTTATTTTTTTATATATATCTGTTCTACCCATTTTTTGGTCCCAGCCATGGATTGTGTGCACAAGTGATGTGAAAACCAGTTTGTTGTAGTTTAAGAATGTTTTCCTCTGGATAATGAAAATGTTTTGTATTCTGTATTTTTCAGAGTTATGCTTTTATGTATATCAGTATTCCCTCTGTTTGTTTCAGGAAAATCAGAAAGGATCAGTTCGACAGAGTAAAGAATGATCAGTTGGATTATGAACCGTAAGTGTTGTCAGTTTGAACTTTGGTGATTGTTTGTCCTTTTCAATTTCATGCAAAGCATAAACTGACACAAATGACTTTTTGGTAGCCTTAATGTGAAATTCGAATCCTTGTCATTCCTTTTTACACTGCTGGGCTTTTTTCTAACAGTACTTCCATAATAGAGTTGAAATGGGATGTGCAACACTTACAATGTTTGTGGGGGGGGGGGGGTCTGGTTTTCATGGAGTACTCTGACTTTAGTGATGCTGTATTCAACTACAAAGCGATTTCTGAATGGGGAGAAATTTCTTTTATTGTATATCTGTTTTTCTGCTTGGATCTTGGCCGATCAGAATCCTGCTTCGTATGTGTTCTAAATTGTGTCGATGGTGTGAAAACACCTACATTTTAACATTTATTTACAAAACCTCCTGAGCTAATGGTTAATTGATTTTTATACTATAATCGATTCTCTTCACAGGTTTATTGACTGCCAAGAATGTGGTCGCAGATGGCATCAGATATGTGCTTTGTGGTTTGAGTCTATCTGGCGTGAAGGGTAAGTAGATAAGCCAGTATCGTATTATTTTAAATTAGCGTCTTTATGTAAATGTCTGTTTGCCAGTAGCGTTTGTTAAACTGACACTAACATGTTATTGCTATTTTCCTCAACAATTTGTTACATAAGCTTTTCTTTCTTTTGTAAAGACACCTACAATAGTAAGAAGGTATATGTTTATATATATTAATTTACTTTTTAGTATAACGAAGATTTTTGTGTCATCTTTGAAAGGAAGCAAAAAGGAAGTGAGTTTTTGTCATTCTGAATGTATTTCATGGGTCCACCATTTTGTTTTGTAATACCGATTTCTTGCGTCTTTTTTTCAGTTGGTCATGTGATTCTTGTCTCAAAGCAAAGGGGGTGAAGAGGAAGGAGAACAAGTTCACATCAAAAAGTAAGTTGCAGTTGTCTACTGTTTATTTCGGCTTTAACTCTTCTCTAAAAGCATGTTGTTTATTCCTACAACATTTTTATTTTTTTTTACGGTCGAGAGTCTCAGGCTGGGCTGTGCTTCATATCAGACCTATATGTGTTCCTGCTGTTCAACAAATTTGTGTGGGCTGTTGGTGGGTGCTCTAGTGGGGTTTGTTTATTCTTTCCTATCAAACATCTATCGTTCTTATATTTCTTCCTCATTTTTTGTGTTGGTACTCTCATGTAACACCTAATCTTTATCACATTTATGACCTTTTTGTGTTGCAAGTGCTGTAAAAAAAATTTTTTTACTAAAACTAAACAAATTTGTGGTTGGTCTTGCTTGTGTGTTGACATGCTTTTCCAAGAATCTAGACAGAAATTGGTTGTATGTAACACGAATGCTAATAGCTCTATAATTATTTTTTAAGATGGTTTTGTATCCTTCACATGAAAGTCTGTATTTTTACCTTGTGTTTTTGTCTCGGAATTGACGAATAGAAATAGTTCTTTACTTTTCACTTTTCGAACAATTAAAGTAAACATTTATGTATAGTTGTACAGATGTTTTAAAATATTATTTCAATTGCAGAGCTTCCCACCACAAAGCTGGGAACATATCTGGAAAACAGAGTGAACAACTTCCTTCGCAAAAAAGACAGCGGTGCTGGTGAAGTGACCATTCGGGTGCTTTCCAGTTACGACAAAATGACAGAAGTAAAACCACTCATGAAGAAAAGGTACACTATTGTGTCGTCGTCATGTCTCTTCTTTTCCCCTCCCCCCTACGGGCTGTTTCAGAAATCACTTGGTCATCCATAAGTTGACTAGCTTTTATAACTCTTGACAATGACTATAACTTCCTTTGTTGTCTGTTATGAAAACAGCATGGAATTATTACTGTTATGTCCTTGCAGCGCAGCGCGGTTGGTCAGAGGTTGCCACAGGTTGTTCTCACTGATTTTATTTCCACTTTTTTTTTTTTGGTTTGCTCCTTCTTAGCACTAAATGACCTTTACTGTGTCAGTGTGCAGCTTTGTACTCGTATAGGGCAAAACTGGATCATGAGTAGGGAGTCCGCTTTTGATAGGGTACGTGTATTGTCAGGTTGCTTTGGTACTTTATTTGTTTTGTACATAGTAAAGTGCCTTCTTTCCTATTAAACAACTATTGTCTTTCTCTCTCCTTTTTTATGTTTGCTACTCTCTTGTAGCTTCTTTAGTTTTCAGCACTTGTATGGCCTTATAGTATTGCAAGTGCCGTAAAGCTCTTAAAACAATGGCCATATAAGGAATGTCATTTGCATGACTGAAGACTCGGGTTATTCTTGTAGGTTCATGTTTTTGGCTGGGCATCATTTTGTGTGGCATGTTTATTTGTTCTTTTGCTAAACATGACTTCTGAATGCATTCGCAGATTCGGAAATGATATGGAGGATTCATATCCATACAGAGCAAAAGCTATGTTTGCTTTTGAAGAAATAGATGGAGTGGATGTTTGTTTCTTTGGCATGCACGTGCAAGAATATGGGTCCTCTTGTCCTGGACCAAACACAAGGTAATTTTTTATAGTGTTTGTTTTTCACCTTTCTTCATTAAGAAGTGATTACTTACATCCTGGAAGTTTAAAAAGAAATTTACAAATGCGTGTTGCTTCAAGGATCCGTGGTCTTAAATAATCGTGAACCAATGTTTTATTTAACTGTCGGAATTAATAGGTGGTCTCATTTGTACATCTTATACATTCATGTGTGACATGGTTAGCAACTGCAAGTCTTCATCCTTTTGTTTCTTTTTTGTCTCCCCAGGAGAGTGTATATTTCATATTTGGACAGTGTTCACTTTTTCAAACCAAGGCACCTGCGTACAGCTGTGTACCATGAGATCCTTATTGGCTATTTGGAGTACGCCAAGACTCTGGGATACACCACGGCTCACATTTGGGCCTGTCCACCCAGTGAAGGTGATGATTACATCTTCCATTGCCATCCTCCAGAGCAGAAAATACCCAAGCCAAAGAGACTGCAAGAGTGGTACAAGAAAATGCTAGACAAAGCCATAATTGATCGAGTGGTTGTGGACTACAAGGTGGGTACTGCTCTTCATGATTCAGAAAATATTTTTCTAACATGACAGATTTTGTTCAAATAATTGTTGTGCTGTGGGGAAAATTTGTCAATTTTCTATGTCTGCCTTTGTCTTTGTCCAAGTGGTACAGAATGCTCTAGGTATACAGGTGTACTTGTAGTTATAGTCTGGGAATGGGAACCTTTTTGTAAGTTGTAAAAAGTGGAAAGGTTACTGTAAGCTTTGTCTAAATTTGTTACGTTCAGCTTCATGCATCAAAATGTAATTACTTTGGAGTTGTAGTGGTGGAATCACTCTTCTGAATAGCAAGAAAACAGGTTATAGTAGCAGAAGCATGGTGGTTTCAAGTTATGGATATATAGATTCTTTTCCTGGAACCTGTGAAAGATAACCATTGACTCAAGTGTTACCCTCTTTCAAGTTATATTTTTGTTTTTGTGAGACTTGGTTAGAATTTTGTGGTTTTCATCATTTCAGGACATATTCAAAGATGCCATAGACAGTGGTATTAGCTCTGCTAAGGACCTTGCTTACTTTGAAGGTGACTTTTGGCCAAATGTGATTGAGGAGAGCATCAAGGAGCTTGACCAAGAGGAAGAGGAGAAAAGGAGAAGGGAAGAAGCAGAGGCAGCAGCTGCTGAGGCCGAGGCTCAGGACACTGTGGAAGAGACGACAGATGCGGTATGTTCTGTGAGTGTGCCTTCCTTTAGTCAGTGGTCCCTTGAGTTAAAGACTCATGCACATGGGGAGGGGGGAGGTTTTATTGGGATTTATAAACAAGTGATTTGTTAAAAGAATTTAGGGTGCTATGGAGTCTTTAATCTGGGAGGACCACTTAAACAACGGATATTTTAATTAGTTTACTGCCTTTGATGGTCTGTTAGGATAATGCATTATACGAACAGATGCTGGATTATGGTGATGAATTAAGAAACTTTTTATACTTGTAGATGTTGGGGTGTTTTACTTGGCTAAGTGTGGTGATAGTTTGCACCATATTATCACTACATACAAGGATTGACTGGTGTTCAGTTAAGACCTCAGTGCTTTCTTGTCTATGTGGTAAAACATTCTGAGTGTATCATTTTGTTGCTTTATCAGTTGGAGTTGGTTGATGCTGAGAAAAAAAGATACGGCTACAACCCCATTTGATGCACTGTAAGAGTGTTTGCATTTTACCTTTATTGGCGAAGGAATATTACGTTGTTGTATGTAGATGTTGAAGCTGATCATGTCAGCCATATGTCTATATCCATGCTTGTCTTCATCTTCAGATTACACAGATGTTTTCTTCGGGAGCATCATGGATGTGCTCAGGCTATGTCTTTTGGTAATCTGTGCAAGTCCTGTTATCATACATTTCCTCACACCTCTGTTTTTTTCTCCCAGTTATTCTTGTACTGTCTTGTGTATTTTAATCAGTTCTGAAGGCTCTTCCCTTTCAGTTGTTGTGCAACCATTTTTTAAAACTTATGACAACAGGATGTTGCGGGGACGAAGAAGGGTGAAAAGAAAGGCCAACGAAACAAGAAAGCCAACAAAAGCAAAGGCAGCGCAAGGAAAAACAACAGAAAGACCAATCTGCCTCAGGGAACCAATGATCTCACCGCCAAGTTGTATAATCACATGGAAAAGCATAAAGAAGTGAGTAGTTTTTTGTTTTGTGTGTCAGTGCAACAAGACATTTTTGTCATTATTTATGGTTTATATTTCTCAGTAACAGCATTGTTTTGGGGGGGGGGGTTTATGTTGTGATATTGTACTTTTTATTGGGAGACAAATGTAGAAAGTAACTAGTGGCTGAGTGTGGGGTGAAGCCGACTTGTACAATGTCTAAGCTGTGGCACTTGTATGACCTATTTGTATTGCAACTCAAACTAAACAGCCTGTTGCATGTACTGAGCTCCTCCTTTGTGTGTCTCTTTCAGGTTTTCTTTGTGATCAGACTGCACAACCAGCAGATTGCTGCCTCGTTGCCTCCCATCACTGAACCTGACCCTGCCATGAGCTGTGAGCTGATGGATGGGCGTGATGCATTCCTTACCACTGCCAGAGAGAAGCACTACGAGTTCTCGTCTTTGCGAAGGGCAAAGCTGTCCTCCATGGCCCTCTTGTATGAACTGCATAATCAAGGCAAAGATGCGTTTGTGTACACATGCAACAGTTGCAAAGCAGCTGTGGAGACGCGCTACCATTGCTCCACATGCGATGTAAGTATAGCCTCTTTTGTGGGGGTGGGGGGGTGTGTTATCTTTGAAGATGCTCTTTCTGGAAGAGTTGTTACTTGTGATTTTGTACATCTTTTTCTTTCTTTCTGTGTTGTACCTACAGCGAAGAAATGTAGGTGGTTGGTGGGTACTGTGGTGTGGTTTGCTCCTTCTTTACTGTCTTCATCTATTATCTTTATCTCTTTTTTGTGAATGTTACTCTGCTAATCTTTGGCATTTATATGATATTGTTGCAAGCATTGTAAAACTTTACTAAAACTAAACTTCTTTGAGGGTGGATCTTTCTTCGAAACATTAATGTGGGTGCTTGGTCTGTTTCAATGTCTAGTGTGCGGCCTTTAGATTGTAAATTGTGAACATTGGTGTAAACTTATACCTGGCCATAATAAAACATTCCCCGCCCCATAAAGCTGAGCTTGAACATCACAAGTGCTTCTCATGGACTTACTGATGTTGAAGAATAAAGAATTTTCAAGACTGGATTGTGTGATGATTTTTTTAATGCAAAAAAGTATGTGTGGAGGGGGTTACTTGGCCAATGCCCACCATCCAATCTGTTGGTTTTTTGGGTTTTTTAAAATAGAAATAATAGTAGGTAGCTTTGTATTTTGAAGTGATTGTTTATCATTTGCTGCACCAAAACTTTTTTTGGTAGGCCCCCTTCCTTTCTGTGGGTAATGTACTTACCAAAACTTTCATCTTTCTTGCAGGATTTTGACCTGTGCGTCCCATGCTACAACAAGGAGGGCCATCACCACAAGATGACCAAGCTTGGCCTCGGTCTGGATGACATTGCCAGCTCTGACAAAGAGGAAAATCCACAAGAATCTCGCCGCAAATCCATTCAGCGCTGTATCTCGTCTCTGGTTCATGCCTGCCAGTGCCGGAACGCCAACTGCCGCATGAACGCCTGCCATAAGATGAAGCGTGTTGTGGGTCACACCATGAGCTGTAGGCGGAAGACCAACAATGGTTGTCCGATCTGCAAGCAGTTGATTGCGCTGTGCTGCTACCACGCCAAGCACTGTGTGGAGAACAAGTGCCAGGTCCCATTCTGTGCTCAGCTCAAACAGAAGCTGAAGCAGAAACAGCTGCTGACCACCCTTCATCAAGCTCAAATGCTCAGGCGTCGTGTTGCCATCATGACGGGAACTACAAACACAAGTACCAACAATGGGCCTTCCAGTGCCACTCCGTCGTCGCAGGATTCTCCCCCTCAGTCAACGGCGTCGCAGCCCTCCTTCACAAGTGGCAGCGTGGGCAAAGCCCCTGGTGCCCCGCCTCCACGCGGGGCCCTCATCGCAGCCCAGGAAGCCCAAGTGCAGGCTGAGGCACAGAGACAAGGGGCTGGGGTGCCAGCCATCAACTCCATAGGAAAAGGTGCTATGCAGCCTCCTATCCGACCTGCGGCCCCAGCAATTGTGCCTTCAACAGGGAAGCCAATGAGGCCCCAGCAGGCGTGGCCACCTTCGTACCCGCAGGCACCTTCCCAGCAGCCTCGGCCAAACATGGCGCGGGATGTTCGTATGCAAGGAATGCAGCCCCACCCGCAGCAACAACCGCAGCAGCAGCAGCCGGTCCCCACCATGGGGCCCAGCACGGGGAACGCTACTGCTGGACCTGCTGCGGCTGGGGGTGCCGGGGCCACCCCAATTGGACCCGCTGTGCACACCATGTTGCGAGCATTTAAAAATCAACACCTCTCGCAGAGTGAGTGGCTGGACTTGTTGAGGAAAAACCCCCAACTCATGGCTCAGGTGCTCAAACTGAAGAACGAGAAAGCGAGAATGCAGCAGGCGCAGCAGCAGCAACAGCAACAACAACAACAACAGCACCCGCAGGCACAGCAGCAGCAGATGCACGGCATGCCCAACATGGGGCAGCCGATGCCTCAGCAGGCCGGTGGTCAGATGCAGCATCAGCAGCAGATGAGAAACCAAATGAACCAAATGATGCAGCACCAGTACAGACAGCAGCACATTCAACAGCAACCACAACAACAAACTTCACAGCTTAACCAGTTTGCTCAGCCCCAGCAGCCATTTGTTCAGCGACCGCGCATGAACTTCCCCCAACAGACATTTCAGAACGACACTGGACATAACATGCATCAGTTTCCGCAGCAGCACATGATGCAGCATAGACAGCCCATGAGCCCTCAGTTTATGTTAGCACAGCAAGCCAATCCCTCGAGCCAGCAAATGCTGAATCAAGTTCGTTCTCCCCCTGCATCTGCCGCAGGACTGCCCCAGACAGTTCGTTCTCCGCAGCCAACGCCATCACCTCGCCAGCAACCCATTCCATCCCCCCGACAGCTTCAACAGTCCCCACACCACAATATAGTCAACAACCAGTCCCCCCTTCATGGCATGGGAGTTGGTCAGGACACATCACAGTTGAGCAATGACCACGTCATGTTGTCCTCGTTTCAAACTCACACCACCATGACCCAACTGCAGAACTCGGATGTAAGCATGGGTCAGCAGGACAATGAGGTGGCCCCCTTGACACCTCAGGACAAGCTGGCTAACTTTGTCAACCAAATTTAAAAACTGTTAATTCCCCCACCCAACCCACCCGCCACCCAGGTTCGTGTGAATAGTCATCCTATTTATCTCTTTGAAATTTTTTCTAATGTGTATAAAAGTTCTTCTTTATGTATGAGAATGCTCGGTTTACTGAACAAATTGTGATCAATGATTCTCCCCCCCTCCCCTAAAGAGTTTTTATATTTTTTATAGAAACTGTCGCAGTCATTTTCTTTGTTCATTGAAATTATTTGTTGTTGTAAATCTAAATGGCAATGTGTGAAATATAAAGAAAAATTGCCTTGCACATGTTTGTAAATATTACGTGTACAAAGATAAGCGAGATTTGAAGGTGACTAGTGGTTTTTTTTTGTGTTTTTTTTTTTTCTCCCTTGATCATGTGGGAATGCTGCCCTCATTAAATCTCTGATTTTACATGTGGAGCTGCAGTCCAAACAGATTTTTTTTCATTTGTTGTGGTGTGGTTCCTCCCACCCATCTCCCGTCCCAATAGAAACGATTCTGTTGAATCATTCCAGCGATTGTAAGATGTCGGACAGAATTTGGGGGGGGGGGATATATGGGTGCTCACTCATCTTGGTGGGTTAATAGCTTGCAAATGGGATTCTTTCATATTTGAATAGGATTGGTTGACAGGTTCAACATTTCTGTGGGATGTCGTTTCCCAACCTCAGGTTTTGTATCAGTGCTAGTGCTGCAGTGCCTAAAGAAATAGTGTGTGACTCTCCCATGTGGAATTTCTGCTGTAAAAATGGTGGTTGAACACGGGATGATTTGAGGTGCTTCTAACCCAATGAGAACCTTTCTCTTACTACAGCGCTCATTTAGAGGTACTTCTGAAAATTGTGTTTTTACAAGCGGCACTATTTGTTACTTCAGTTGCCACAGTGCTTCTGTGAGGTTTAGGACTGTTGATTCTTTGTTCAGTTGGTACCTTCCAGCCTAACATATATCTGAAATCATGGTCAACTTAAGACTTCTCAGAGCGACTTCTGTGTAGTAATTTCGGAGTAGTTGGAGTGGATGTAAAGCTATGGATGAGATTTCAGATTTCTGCAGTAAGCTGTATGAGGGTTTTTTTAAAATGACTGATGCCTTTAGCTTATGGTATTACATAGAGTGGGTTATCACTCCTATCGCTGAATCGTAGCTTCAGCCAGGTCAATAGAAGATATTTTATGGGTTACCAAAGACAAAAGATCTTTGAGGGTGTACTGTAATCGTCAGGGGCTGTATTTGAATAAAAGCAGAGATAAGGATGCATGCTGTATGTCAACAATAACAGGGCTTCATCAGATTAATGTAAGAAGGAAAAACTGGTCACGTTTACTATTTGTTTGCCCTGATCTTTTGTCCCCTAATCTGGCTACCTCTTCCTTGTGATAAATAAGCACAGTGGTTAGATCACCAACAGCATTCTTTGACAGAAAGCTGTGTACATACCTTTCCCCCTCCACTCTTCCAGTGCTTGCAGGCTAGTGCCGCCAATACTACCATAGACAGGAGGAATGATAACCATGCAATGTCCGTCTTTTTTGCTTTGCTTTGATGTTCTCTTCAGGCAGGATTATAACAAGTGAACACATCAATCAGTGTTTGAAGGCACTTTTGCTTTTTATTCTCTGTCCTTTGCTGACAAAATATATCTCTCTATATTTGTTTTTCAAGGAAACCAGTCCTCTCTTTTGTCAAGGAGGATTGTAATTTTCATTCCTCCTCATCTTGGGCTTTGGTTCTGCAGACTTGTGTTCCTTCCTTTATAGTCGATTTTGCTCAACACACTCTCCTTGGTGAAGTTCTTGGATCCTGAAATTCATGGTTGAAATTTTACTTTTGAAGAGCAAGCGAGACGTGTTCTACTTTATTGTATGTTTTCTCTCCGGAGTTGCCGTGAGATAGGAGACCTGTCTGTGCAGGTTACAATGTTTTGGTGTGAACGGGGGGGCTTTCCTGTGTGGCCTAGTGTACTTACTGTTGTTGTGGTCATGATTCAGTAGCTCTCCTCCTCACTTTCTTCTGCCCTCCCCGTTCCTTTCGTGGGGGGGTTTCTTTTCCGAATTTTTTTTCTCTGTTGTCTCATTGATCTGGTATCAAAATCTAGTCGGGAAGAGGTCAAGGTGGCTTGGCATGAAGAGGAGGGAGTGATAATGGAGATTTAGAATTGAGAACCCCACATCTCTGCGTGTAAAAAGAGGTGAACTTGTTTTATCTTTGTTCTAGCATTATTTGTACGTGGTATCTTTTAAAATGGGACACATAATCCACATATTTATTCTGATGCCACGGCTGAGAGTAGCGTGCCAAAACCATTCCATTGTCTTAGATCTTGTGGACATTGTATGAGTACTATGCAAAGTTACTGCTCTCATTTGGCTACATTTTTCCCCCTTTCCGTCTGAAACAACCATCTTCTGTCTGCATTCACACATCTACCTTTTTTATTTTTTAACATTTTTTTTGCCCCCTTCTTCCGTTGAAATGTTTGCGTGTTGTCCTTTTTGTGGGAGTGGAGGAATCAAGTGACGGGGTTCATGTGTGCTTGAATGAAAGAGGCATTGTTTTGTTACTGATGTCCAAAGCGGTTTTGGTCCAAACTTTGTGTGCTCCAGAAAAGGTTCTTGTTCTCTTTTGTATCATCCATCAGTGAGTTTCGTTGTTCTTGTACTAAAAGACTGCAAGCTGTCTGAAAGGCTGATATACAACTGTAGTGTCTTTGCTACATTAACCCTATCCGTACGTCATTTTTTTACTATCGTATCCATATGACGTGGGGAACTCTGCGCCACCACTTTCCAAAGAGGAAATTTACTCATTACTCAGATTCGTACACTTAGCATAACAGTCTGTCAAAATATTTTTTTGAGAAATACTGAAAGTTTCAAAGCGATCTTTGCACTAGAAGTATTCTAAAATGTGAAGAATACAACCCCGGGCATACGGATATGGTTAAAAAACTTTAAAAACTTCAGCGCACGTTGTTTTTTTTTGGGGGGTGTATAAGTTTGTTTCAGATATCAAATTGTGTATAAAGTTATAAGTAATGTCAGTTGTTCTAACTGTAAAGGAAAAGGTGAATTATGAAGTATTTAAGTATTTATTGTCTTAGCCTCAGAAACCAAAACTTTCAGGGGTTGAAAAAGACTTGTAAATATGACATTGGATAGATAACAAAGAGCTCCTAGATAGTTTGTGGGGCCCCTGCATTGAATAAGTATTGTCTTGTCTTTTGAATTTTCTCTTCTCCTTTTTTTAACTCCTCGTAATCTGTTTTTTTTTCTCCAAATGTTTTATGTTGTCTATTTCATTTCCTATTTTTATTTTGGTTGAGTGAATGTTCATATTGAATGGCACTTTCGTTGTTACAAAAAAAATCACTGGTACTTGAAAAAGGCTGGGGAGGACATTTTTCTGTATTACAGCAGGTGGATTTAACTCCCCCTTCCCTCATTGGTAACTCTTTTTACTTTTTCATGTTGTTTTTTTGTTTTTTTCTACGTTTCAGTCCAGGAACTCTCGTCTTGTGTATAGTGCCCTTTCTTTTGAAAATGAAACCGTAGGTCACTTTCCTCACCCGACTTTGCTTCTCGTGCGAAAAATGACTCAAGACATTAAGCCTCCTTTGTTTCTCATGGCCATACCAAGAGGTTCTGTTACCTTCTTGTACAGGGGGGATGTTTTGAGTCTTTTGTCAGCATGGAAGTAGTTCTTGCCATATGCGCCAGTGACAGCTGTGCTGGGGGGGGGCGCTCTGGATTGATTTTGATTTATTTATTACTGGAGGTACTTCAGGTACTGACATGTTTTCAACTTAACTGTGGTCTTGTTTCATTTTAGGTCATGGGGATTAGATGCTCACTGGGTCGTAGCCCTCTCGAAACAATATTGCTTTATTTCAACCAGAGCTGTGGGCTGATATAAAGTGTTTTCCATCTGACAAAGGGAATTTGTCACTTGTGTTTGTTCTTGGGGGGGGGGGTGTACAATTATGAAGTTATAAAAGTATCATTTCCCCCCTGTTATGAAAACTGTTAGGGTAACTGAAAGTGTTTCTACTGTATTTTTGGGGCTGGAAAAGGTAAAATTAACTGATCGAGGCATTCTATTTTGAAGAATATTATTTGACCAACATTGTATGGCAATGGTAAAAGGTCATTTTACCTTAATTCACAATTTGTCTATTTGGGTGCATCTGAGTTGAAGGCTGTGGTTTGTCAACCCAGAAATGTGGGATTAGGTTTTGCTAGTAGTTGATATTGTATAAATAGAAGGTTTTATATTCAGTTCAGTTGGAAATATGTTGTATTTAGTTCGAAAAGAATTCCAGTGCTAGTTGTCTTGAGTTGGCCACATGTTAAATGTTGTTTGTGTTGCAGAAAGTGTATTTTTTAAAAACCTGCATTTACTGAGAATAATACTACACTGCAAGGGACTCCTAGGTGATGGATGAGAAGGTATCAGGAGAAGAACTTAACATGTCAGTGTCAGTTTGCCCTTGCTTTGTGCCTTATTTTTATTTAAATCTCGAAGTACTGCAGGAGGAGGTTGGGGTTTCTTGGGGATGGATGGAATGGGTGACTTTTGTTCTTTGTACATTTTTTTTTAAAAAGATAATTTCTCAGGTAGGGTACCCCCACCCACCCGCCCCAGTGATGTTGGTAGAATGCTTGCTTCTCACCATTGGTCTCTGGGCTGCAAGGATAGGTGGAGCTGCTTTGTAGAGAGCCTGCCTGTTTTGAAGGCACCCGCCATCAATAAGATTTTGTAAGAAACTGTTGTGATTCACATGTGGAGTTGTCAGCTGTGCAATTATGATCAGGATACTGCATAATATGCGTTCATGTGAAGCTGACGTCTTCAAGATTTATTTCCCCCCTGCCTCTTTATCCTTTTCTTTAATTGTGTGATCTCATTCCTGAACAAGTGTCATTCAGATGGTATTGTCTGCCAAAGCTCTGTTCAGAGTTGTATCCTCCTTATGATGAAATGGGTAATGTGAGTTCTGGTTGTTTTTTGTTAACCAACTTGAGATGACTTCCTTGTACAAATTACTGCCCTGCCAGCCGGGGTTTCTGTGTATATGGATGAGAGACAGATTTACAAGTATTTATTGTTGCTTGATTCATCTCAGAGTTCTCACCAAGTGCAACTGTGGTCCAAAGACTTATGGT